CTAGTCTTGCTTTGGAAAGGTCTGCTCACCTGAACCTCCATCTGCTCCTTGAGAGCCTGGAGCTCCTGGGCCTGCTGCAACCTCTCTTCCGACTCCTCATCCCGCAGGGATCCGAGGTGGGACACCATCGCACTCTGAGACTGCAGGGCCTGCAGCTTCTAAACACACCAAGCCACGTTGAACTGAGACACGGAGCTAAGCATGCTGCCTGGGATATATCTTTCCCTTCGCACCAGCCACGAGACCCCAGCTCGAGCTCACTGAGAACCTACGTGACTCCAAGCCATCACACGGATCAGCTTGAGAGGGCTGGAGTGTTCCTCCCAGCCCACTGAACGTCTACTGCATTTAAAATGCACATTTTCAATGAAAAAAAAAAACAAAACAAAACCATGAGATATACATATTGTCCATCATGGGGCTTGAACTCTGGGCTTGGGCGCTGTCCCTCAGCTCTTCAGCTCAAGGCGAGCGCTCTACCACTTGAGCCACAGCGCCACTTCTGGTTTTCTGAGTGGTTTTATTGGAGATGAGAGTCTCAGGGCTTTTCCTCTCCAGGCTGGCTTTGAACCATGGTCCTCAGATCTCAGCCTCCCGAGTAGCTAGGATGACAGGCGTGAGCCACTAACGCCTCGCCCTGTATTTTCTTATTGTATTGCCATATCACGGTGGGACAAAAGAAATCATTATGATATATTAACTAATGGAATAGTCATTAATAGTGGTTCATTTTGTGAGTGTGCCTTTATACACACACACAACTTGGGGCCTGAGGACTTACATCATCAAATGCCACGCCAGTTTCAGTAGTTCCCCAGGGCACTGGGAGTAATTTCGGTTCCATCTCTGCCTTAATCAGTTAATTACATTCTTCACTATGATCTCTCCTCTCCTCCTCTTTTTCTTCCCCTCTTCTTCCTGTGCCCCCACCTTCCTCCCCCTCTTCCTCTCTTCTTCATCCTCCTCTCCTCCACCTCCTTCTCCCTCCCTCCCTTTTCCTTCTCCTCTTACCTGTCCCTCATCCCTCCTTCCCTCCTCCCCCCCCTTCTTTTCTGCCATTCTGGGGCTTGAACCCAGGGCCTCCTGCATGATAAGCACACCCCTTTATACAGAGCTCCAGCCCCTCAAGTTATTTATTTCCAAGGCAGCTCAGAGGAAGGGGTTTTACCTCCAGGAGGAAGTTCCCAGGCTATCCCAGGTGATCACTCTGTGTGTGTGTGGGTGTGTGTGTGAGACCTGACCCCTACCTGCTCCCTCTCCGTGCAGTGCCACCTGTGTGACAAGACCTTCATGAACGCCACCTTTCTGCGGGGCCACCTGCAGCGGAGGCACGCAGGCTTGGCGGACGGTCGTGGCGGTGGTGGCGTTGGTGGTGGTGGTAAGAAGCCCCGGGACCCCACAGGTGGACTGGGACTGGTCAGTGCCAGAAATGCCCTGCACCCTAGGGCAGTGAACTAGGGGAGGGGGGCAGAGGCGCTGATCTTAGATCTCCACTGTACCCCCCACCCCTCTGTCTTGCCTTGGATCCCACCCACCCCAACACGCTCAGGAAGGCAACAGCAGCAGCAGCAGGAGCGACCTCTGGAGGAGGCCCTGGAGGAGCTGCGGGCCAAGCTCAAGGACACCCAAGCCGAGCTGGAGGCCCAGCGGGAGGCCGAGAGGCAGAGGCAGCAGCGGGTGGGCGGGGCCGTGGGGTGGGTGTGTCACCCGCAGGTGGGCGGGGCCATCAGGTGGGTGTGTCTGTGGCGTGTGGGCGTGGCCTACCCAGGGCATGTCATCTGTGAGTGGTCGTGGTCGGATCAGATGGGCAGGCCTTCGGCAGGTGGGCGTGGTGTCCAATGGGCACACCACCGGCGGGTGGGCGTGGCCACCCGGTGGGTGTGTCCTCCCCGTATGGGCGTGGTCACCTGGTGGGTGTGTCTTCCGCATGTGGGCGTGGCCGGCCCAGGGCACAGCTTCTGTATGGGCGAGGTCGGGTCCGATGGGCGTGACTTCGGCAGGTAGGCGTGGCCAGGAAGCATCTAGGACACTCAGGCCTAGAAGTTGCCACCGATTCCCCCTGGGCTGGAAATCCCAGGCAGGATGGCCGCTCTTTGTGTGTGTGTGTGGGGGGGGTGGGGGCGTTGGCACCCGATTGGGGAGCAGAGATACATAGTTCCCTGCCGGGGCCCACACCACCCCAGAAGCCCTCAAAGCTTGGGTTGGATTTGAATCTGATGATCCTAGATCCCAGACTCTGCCCGGAAGAACCGATCAGAAAATACTGGCAGAATGGAAAGGCACCAAGTTGGCATTTCACATCCATCCATCATCCATCCATCATCCATCCATCATCCATCCATCATCCATCCATCCATCATCCATCATGTCTGCATAACATTTATTTTATTTCTTTATGTGAAATGTAAATGTAGGTTAGACTTAATTTTGTGTGTGTGTGTGTGTGTGTACGTATGTGTGTGGTGTTCTTTTAAAAAAAATCATTGTCTTTAAAACTAGTTGTACAAAGGGGTTCTCATCAGAAGTCTATAAGTTCGATGCATCTCGATCAATGGCATCTCTTCTATTGCTCTTCCTGCCTGCGTCTGCTGGGCACCAATCATGCCAGGTGTTGTGGAGATGTGCAGAAAGAGAAAGTCAAATCCTCATGGTTAAGAATGGCTTGGGAGGGGCCAGGAAGGTGGCTCAGTGGTATATTGGTTGTCTTGCATGCCTGAGGCCCTAGGTTCGATGCCTCTGCACCACATAAAAAGAAAAAGCCGGACATGGCCCTGTGGCTCAAGTGGTCGAGCGCTCACCTTGAGCTGAAGAGCTGAGGGACAGTGCCCAGGCCCAGAGTTCAAGCCCCACGACCAACAACAACAACAACAAAAAACCCCAGCTTAGGATGGATGACTCTTTGTTTCTCTATAGTGATAAGCCCACACAGAAAGCCTGAGTGAGCTCTCACTAATGTTGTAGTGATGCATTGTTCTTGCTTTTCTTTTTTCTTTCTTTTTAAATTATTGTCGTTAGGAAGTGGAGATCATGCGCCAGAGAGAAATGGAAGCTAAGAAAGAATTTGAAGAATGGAAAGAAAAAGAGCGAAGCAAGTTTTATGGGGAAATAGACAAGCTGAAACAATTATTCTGGGATGAATTTAAAGTTGTTGCCAACCAGAACTCTACGCTAGAAGAGGTACCCAACTTCATGTCTCAAAATTGCTTTATTGGGCTGAGAATGCGGCTCAGTGGTAGAGTGCTCTCCTAGCATGCGTGAAGCTATGGGTTCGATTCTTCAGTACCACATACACAGACAAAGTCGGAAGTGGTGCTGTGGTTCAAATGGTAGAGTGCTAGCCTTGAGCAAAAGAAGCTCAGGGGCAATGCCCAGGCCCAGAGTTCAAGCCCCAGGACTGGTAAAAACAAAATGCTTTATTAAAAAAAAATTATTATCAGCTGGGTACCGGTGGCTCACACCTGTCATCCTAGCTACTCAGGAGGCTGAGATCAAAGCCAGCCTGGGCAGGAAAGA